CCTGCTGCCCGGTATCTCCTGAAAAGCCCCCACAGAAACAAGGCTGCGGCACCCCCGCAGCATCGCTGGAGGCACCAGGACCTCGTGGGCATGGCCATTGCCTTCCCGCACCCGCCTGCCTCTCAAGGACCAGCATCACCTCCCGTGCTCAGGCACTGGACCAACTCCTTCTGGCTACATTTACCACCCAGGGACTTGTCGCCTGGAGAAATCTTTCATCCAGGGACCGCTTGGCAAGCTTTAATTGGGTGTCACAGCATCCCTCCCAGGTAGGTATCGCTACCTGCGTTTGGGTGGTGGAGACAGTCAAGCCCAAACTGGGGAGGTGACCTGCCCAGTGTCATAAAATGATTCCCCAGCAGAGCAGGGAGCCGGCTGCAGCTGTGCCGGCCCGCGGGCTCATCCCTGCCTCCAGGCTGCTGGTGGCGCAGGGCACGGGGAGGCAACCGCAGGCAGGCAGGGCGCTCTCCGGCTCGGGAAAGTCAAGGGGCAAAGCCTTTCGTGTTCTTGGAACCTAGGACCTGTTCTGAAACCACTAGCTCTCCGAATCAGGGGTTTGCATGCCACAGCAGAGTTGTTTCACCATCTAACAGTTGCACCCGAGGTACATTTAGAGGACAAACTGGAGCCGACGCAGCACAAAAAAGGTGTCTCCGATGGGAGATTGCAAGGCTCGTGGGTTCAAAGGGAAGATGAAGCTGTGGGTACCCGCTGCCCAGCACCGGGGTAGGCGACTGCGCTGCTGCTCAATGCGCACCTGAAGCGTGCAACGTATCGCGAGTGGCACCTTGCACCCTGAAAGGCAGCAGCGAGATGCTGAGCCTCACGGAAACGCTCCCGGGGATGTTACACAGACGAAACGAGGATCGTTCCCCCTCCTGCATTTAGCAAGACATCGTTACACCCGCTACCGACCGCCATTCACAGAATCACAGAATCATAAGGGTTGGAAGGGACCTCAGGAGATCATCTAGTCCAACCCCCCTGCTAAAGCAGGCTCACCTAGAGCATGCTACACAGGACTTCATCCAGGCGGGCTTTGAATATCTCCAGAGAAGGAGACTCCACAACCTCCCTGGGCAGCCTGTTCCAGTGAACGTCAAAATTCCGGCCGCTAACGTCAAAATGCAAGAGCAGAGGCAAGGTGATGCAGTGACAAGCACCTCCCTTTCACAGCATTAAAAAAGCCCAGAGTTAGGAGAACAGAGGCCGTACTTAATCAGTTTTCTCTGCAGCACTTCTTAACGCTTGGGCAATGGCTAAAGCCCAGATAGCTTAGAAAAGCATTCGCACAGACCAGAGGTGCAGGCGTTCAGACCCTGCCCATACACCTGATCTTTGGTAAATCATTTAACTTCTTCTGTGCCTCAATTTTCCCCAGCTGCAGTAATGAGCCAGCTCACATGGGCCTGGGGAGCGAGTTAATGACTGAAGTGGCTGGTCCCGTACCAGCCCTGGGCTGGGGATTAGCAACCTGTGAGGCTCTTTGAGGTCTGTCAGCATAACCCGATTTCAAAATCAGTTCTCCCTTTCAAATCAGATCCCTCCGACCCGTGCCGCCCCACTGCAGCGCCCCCAGGACCAGGGGCTCACAGGTCAAAATGCTTTGCTGAGGTTTTAGCTTGTGAAATCCGCAGCTGAGCTCACCTCTACCTGCGGAGCCAAGTACCAGCAACAGCAGGCAGGGCCTTTTGGGTTTGCTGAGTTAGAAGTAGGAGGATGAATCTGAACTAAGCAGCCCTCCAGTGGGGGAAAAAAAGCTCTCAGGAGACCCTGGCAGCTAAAGGGAAGAGCAAACAAACTTCGAGGGCACCCAGCACAGCAACCAAGCCTCAACGACCAAGGGGTTTCAGGGAGCAGACCAAGATTTTTTTTCCTCCTTTTCCCCTTGCAGGCACATCCACATTCTCTCCAGTAGCTCACCCTGCCAGGACTGTGCCCAGGGCTTCGGTCTCTCCTGCCATCCCCAGCCCTCCGGGTGTCACTAGCCCACGTGGCAGCTCATTTCCCCAAAAGCCCCCCGCACTCACAGCATTTATTGCCTGCGAACAAGGCTGCCGGTAGCCCAGCGCGGATGTTTGCCCTCCGGCTCCCCCAGGTTCAGCCGTGTCTTTGCCACGAGGCTCCCGATCGGGGGCCGCCAGCACGGGTGGGTCTGGCTGCAGCTCCCGGCTTTTGGGAAGAGCCTTTCCCCGGGGCTGCTGCTGGCTCCCCAGCTCACCCTCCATCCACCCATCAATCGATAATAAAACCAGATAGCAAAGATGGACACAAGAAGAGAAAAGGACCTCACGCTCACAAAGATGGTCCTGAGCAGTCGCTAAAAGCCTCATGTCCCCTTCCCTCCACTGAATCAATCCAAACACAGCCCCACAGAGGGAATTGCAGCTCACGCCCTGCCCTTTATTGCTTCCCGGGTGGGGGGGGCCCCAGCTGAGCCCCATCCTGCTCATCAGGCAGGGCCAGGAGGGAGGGGGCCAAGCGCCTGGGGCAGTTTGGGCTCCAGCCTCTAACCCTTTCCTCGGCAGCCTCTGTAAGGTGTCAGCCCATCACTCCATGAGCGAGCATCTCTGGGGTGTGTTTCTGTGGAAAGCCCTGTCCTCCATGGTCACGAGCGGGAGCTGAGCCTGCCATGGGGACCGTCCCTGCCATGGGGACCATCCCTGCCATGGGGACGGGAAGGGCTGGAGCCGGCTCGTTGAGGGAGAGGCCATGTCCTGCCCCCGTGCCAAGGGCAGGTACCTCCTATGGCCAGGAAACCTCAGAAGGGGCAACCACGGTGACACCCGTGTGACATTTCTATTCCCAGCTGCAAAGCTCTGCCTGGGGCTCAGGTCCGTGCCTTGCCCGGCCGCCCCTCCACGCGGGCACGATGGCACCGAGCGCCTCCCATTCGCGTCGTGGCAACTCGGCGTCTGGCGCCCAGAATCCTCAGCGTGAAATCCCCCTCCCTGCTCCAGCGGTCTCTCCCCTGCCCCGTGGGCTCAGATGAACCCTCGACACGAGGCTGTGCGAAGCAGCGGGGCCAGGCGCCTGCATGCACCC